CAGCGTTGGAGCTAAATCCGGTCCGTGAACATAGTAGTCACTAAAAAGTATTAAATCCGTGAAACAGATAGAGTGCAAACACTAAAAGCGTGAAAAACTACTAAATAGACTATCATACTTCAATTGTCCATTTTTTTCTTCACGGGTTAAATGACTTCAATCTACGTTTTTGAWGTCTTTATTAGTGTTTGCAATGTATTGGAGTTAAGTCACAAAACCCGTGAAATTGATATTACCCTAATACACCTTACTACGCTATAATTGCATTGTTTTCTTTTGTGTCTATACCTATCACACTTTAACAGTCAAGTTTTGTTTCACGGGTTTAATGACCTCACTCTGCACTAATTTCGTGTCTATGAAAACTTCCGGATGCTGCGAGAACCGGAATCAATCAAAAAATTGCAGATATAAAAACTTTCCAGACTTCAATGCAAATCACTTTGATATTTTGTTTCGTGTCACTATTATCTTATAACCATCAACTGCGAAATATGCTRGATTTGAAGCTTGATGCTATAGTGCAGTGTCGGACGTTTGCCACCCACCACGTCTGARCTCATAGTAACTATTTAGTGCTTGGTTACTGCAGTTGGAGAGGTTGCCATAAATCCGTGAAACAAAGTATAATTTGTTCTGTTAAAGTGTAATAAAGTCYGTTGAGTGCAGACACTATCTAGAGAGATTTTGATTAGAGTGAAGTCATTCAACCCGTGAAACAAAATTTGATTATTACAGTGCGATAGTCAAATAGACACAAAAGATAACAATGGAATTAGAGCGTACTAAGGTGTATTAGTGTAATATCTATTTTGACTCTGCTCTACTGACCAAATAGCACTAAAAGCGCAAAATAGTGTGGATTAGAAAACAGAAAACCGCATAATTCAGCACTATTTCATCACTAGTGTTTTCATAGTTTTAATGTTCACACTCTACTATTACTGTTTAGTGAAATATTCAGTGTACCCTGCGAACAGAGTGTATCTTACCTTACCTTGTGAAATTTAGCTAAAATAGCACTGAATATACCCTGCGAACAGAGTGTCTTTTACCTTACCTCAATAAAAATTCGCAATTTTTATTGAGAGAGTGTATCTTACCTTGAGGTAAGGTAAAAGACACTCTGTTCGCAGGGTATATTCAGTGCTATTTTAGCTAAATTTCACAGACAATGAATACGTAATTTCATCGTTCAAAGTATTCCATATTTTAAACAAACAATTGTATCTTTTTAAAGCATTATGCTTCTTACCAGATGGTCAAAATCGATTTTCGATGTCCCTAGCGTCGGTGAATGTCCTCSTAAATGTCTCCCACTTACAAAGAGATTTCTTTAGACTCGAGATCAATCAAACACTAACTTTTGACACAAAGGACCTAAACGACTGCAGTGAAATACAAATCCCYCYGTGCATGTAATCCATCATGGCTTTTAAGATCTATTCGGTGATAAACTACTTAATTGTGAGATAATTCAATTTTACCATWTGACCTATATTTTTCCGGGAGCCCGCTCYAAATCATTTTCAAAAAGATCACGTGACGGGGGAGGTGTACCTTTGCACGAACGGGTCGTGAAAAAGTCAAAATTGAAAAGTCAACCTTGAGACAAATATTTTTCACTACGAGCCTCCCACTCAGTCAATAAYGACATAAGATTAAAATGATGGTATTATATACGGCTTATTGYTGTAAGAAATTTACCAATTACGAGATGCGCAGRCGCTTTTAAAAATAYCACAGTGACGCACGCGAAAATGAGGCATTGTCTGGCAGTGTTTCAAAKCTCGTTTACACTTCTGTACGAAAATACCGTCTTCATGAGGGCGCCAGCGATATTTTTTTTAAATCACGGAAATTTCCTTCCAAAATTATAATAAGAGTAGTTTGCGAACTGTAAATACATGAATTTGACGTGCTCCAAAGGATTTTCTCTTGGCAAAATGAGTGCACGGAAAGTATCCAGCCACCAGCCTAGCTATTAAAAGCATGCGGAAAAGCAGACAAAAATTCTAGCAATAGCTTACGAGGCGACTAAGATCGCCGAGACTAAGAGGATYCCTGGATAATCTCTTTACTTAAGACCCTTACACTACCTTATCTTAAGCTAAATTCAGTGTTATTAGAGAGGATTTTAGAAGACTTGCTGGTCAAGATAAAAGATAATCCTTATGCTTCTATTGTGTAATTTTGAGGGGAGTTTTCGACGAGAACTTAAGAGCGTGAAAAACGTCCTCGTTTATACTATTCGTTTCGTTAGGTATAGTGTTAGTTTTCGAAGAACCGCTAAGGAAACTTACTATATATCTCGTACGTTTGTATTGTTGCGTTTACGTATCGTTTTTTGTTTTTGTTTTGGATTCCCTTTAGGACGGAAAATGATACCAAACGTTTACGTATGGTTTTTGTATTGTTTGACAGAGGACAATCTAAACCGCTACGGAAACGTACTACGATTGGTCCACACTGGTGCGTTAACGTATGGTTTTTTGTATTGTTTGACAGAGGACAATCTAAACCGCTACGGAAACGTACTACGATTGGTCCACACTGGTGCGTTNTGTATTGTTCTCCACTTCCTTGATGACAGAGAACAATCTAAACCGCTTCGGAAACGTACTATTTTTCATCCGCACTGGTACGTTTACGTATCGTTTAGGTATTGTTTCCACTCCCTTGATGACAGAGAATAATCTAAACCGCTACGGAAACGCGTCTAAGGACGAGGCCTGATCAACCTCAATCACTTTGTGGAGCACCAGTGTACGCGAAGTAAGGTTTGCTTGTGTCAGTCTCTGGCAGACCGCAAGTGATTTATATGATCTAATCTCAATGTAATGAATACAGCACATTCAAGAAACATTGTCACATATAAAATGCTTACAGCGATTTTAAAAGCGTTCATCATTTTGAAATTTTTGATCTGAGACCGATAGGAATTATGGGAATTTTTATTAGGGGTCAAAACATCACATGTCATTCATTAAGGACTATTAAGAACGAAGAGAATATCTAAACGGAATCGTAGACCACAAAGAATGCCTTTTATCGTAATCTCAGTAGTTAAGGTTCAATTTGCTTATGTAAGGAGTCTCTAAATGTAGCCATAGTTACAATCATAGACAAGATTCATTGGACAAAATGTATGTCTACTAAAACGTTCAGACAATTTCTCCCCGTGAACCCCCATTTACAATGTTGGGCTCCAAAAAATACCCTCTTTCCATACTGAAACATTCCCGCAAACAATATTGGCAACAACATTGACTGTGGGGATAGGGGGAGGGTTTGAGGGAGGATTAAAACAGCCCATAAGAGAGTGCATCTGCTAGAGCGCAGTAATAGCTTTCTGTTTTCTTTAATATTTTGTCTTGGATTGTAGGCCACAAAGCTTGAATCGAAATTCTAATAGTTTATAAAAAATGATGTAGGTTTAATTTGCTCATGTGGTAAAACGCAAGATTGGCTAATAATACAMGCTACTGATTCTTTACGTAACACACGTATGGGCAATGGGCCTTAATTGACAAAAATAAAGTCATAAAATGCCACTGAGGAACAAATAAAGCTATCACTAACACCTTAAATATGACCTTACAATTATACCGACAAAACGCACCGAYAAAATCGTACGAAATCCTCTCAAAGAACACAAAGCGGCGCCTAGTTTTTGGTTYCTGTTTTAGCTATCTTTTGAGAAAAAAACACGTAAAAATAAATCTAGCTGACAGCTGATAAACAAGCTAACTTCTAAACCGATCCCGATTCATTGTCCTGTCCTACCTCCCTAGTTACTGTTGCTACGTCGGACAAGTTTTCCTTTGATATAGAGCATGGAAAAGATACAGACTTGCCTTGTGTTATATGTTTTTCTTACATTTTCATCAGGAAAAGCTAATGAATTTAGTAAAAATATTAGTTTTTGTGTTTGTTGCTCGTACAGTTTCAACCAGTGATTRATCTATGTGAAGAAGGGATCGRTGAATTGCTATTTTGCACACAGAGCGACGTGAGATGCCCTACAATAGATTAACGTGGGAGTCAGGCTAACCAACAACCCACAAACATACGTACATCCTTTAAGTAATCCTTAAGCTTATAAAGTAAACGTTTTTCCAAAGCCGAATCATGAGTTTAATTTGTCAGTGTCGTTTTATCCATCGTGTGAGCAAACATGATATTTCTGGTGCGAATTATTCAAAGAAAATCGTCCTTCCATAACTTTTGAAGATTTTAACTTTGTTCTATAGGACAGAGTAAGAAACACTTGTCATTTTTTTGTTGTTCTATATTGTTCTGAATTATTATACACTACCCTATTTTGTTTTCTATTGTTCTCTATTGTTTTCTATTGTTCTCTATTCTTTTCTATTGTTCTGTATCATCTATTGTTCTATATTATTCTATATTATGTATCGTTCTTTATTGGTACTCTATCCAAACAGCATTAATACCCTGTGCACTTTAAGTCATGATCGACGATTTTAGATAATATTTTCAGAGCTTGAAACAGCGAAGCGAAAAGAAAGGCATGAAACTTTCAGCACACAAACCCGCGAGTGCCCATCAAAACGTTTTGTCGAAACATCATTGAGCTACTCGGCATTTAAACAGTCAATCGTTTCGTTATATTTGAAAGMGCGAAACAGCGAAAATTGAACCGGATACAAACCTGCAACTCTTTCAATACATCGAAACACAATAAAAAGAATTCATCGATAACAGTTTCGTTATTTTTGAGTAGCGCGAAACAGCGAAATGGAAAAAAATATTGGTTTCCCTAACCTGAAATTGTTCGCTACATCGAAACATTTATTAACCTGACATTTTAACAGTTTCCAATCAATATTTTTTGTTATTTTTTTAAGGGCGCGAAACAGCGAAATGAAGAAAGAAAAAAATGAAAAATTGATATCACTAACCTGAAAGTGTTTGCAACCATCGAGACAAGTAGCCTGGCATTTCATAACAATAACTTTCGTTATTTTTTGTTTCAGAACAAGAACAACCGTGAAGAAAGAACTGCAAAAACTATAAACTAACGTGCGACTTTCAGCCACATCGAAAAGACATGGACAACTTAACCATATCAGGTAATATGAAATCAAACGCAACTTATAAATGATATATTTTACACTAGTATCTGCTGGTAATGCTATRCTAAGCTTATTTGAAACAATATAATAGTCAAACGGAAGAGAATTACTATTTAAGTCTTTGCTATAATAGGATTTATTTGGTACTGTGGGGCGCCTATATCGATGAACCAGATACAATGTTGTAAGACTAGCAACACGTACTTAGTATTAGCTGAACGGAGTGTCAGCTCATATGTACATGCAAAGTAGTGATTTTCAATCGTCTGTCAGGAAAAAGACTATGTAGCCTGCATTTGGTACTGTGGGGCTCCTATAAACGATGAAACAGATATATTTGTACTTAGTATTACCTGAACGAACTGTCAACTCATTGTACATGTAATGTAGTGATTTCCAATCGTTTGTCAGGAATAAGACTACGTTGTCTGCACATATTTTATAGTATACTGAGGGGTGCCTATTATGAACGATGAAAAAGATACATTCTAGTAATATGTACTTAGTATTAGCAGAGCGAACTGTCAACCTATATATGTACATGTAATGAAGTGCTTTTCAAACGTCTGACAGGAAAAAGGCTAGTTGATGTAGCTTGCATTTGTATTGGTACTGTGGGCGCCTATAAACAATGAACCATATGTATGCTAGTAATAGGCACTTTAGTATTAGCTGGGCTA